GTTATGTATTACCTTTGTATCATATATGTATCAATGATATTCTTGTTCAGTAAAATATATGTGTATGAATGATGTATTAATGTTGTATATCCTATAATTTTGCCTATTATAATAAAAATTGCAACTGTATATTTTATTTTTTGATTATGATGTATGAATTGATGTATTCATACTAAATTAGATTAGTTTGTAGTTTAAAAGTCACATATATTTTTTTTAAAATCGAATATGTATTAATATTGTATGAATTGTGTATGAACTGAGGCATATAGTTTGTATGATTTCTGTATGAATTGAATTAAATGTTCATCGAATATGTATTAATATTGTATGAATTTTGTATATAATTTGTATGATTTGTGTATGAATTAATTGAATGTCAATTTAATATAGCATTGTATATATGATTTTTTTCTATGGAATTTTATAGTATATAATAAGTAATAATTTAGTTTTACAAATTTTATAGGAGAAGATTCAAACACATTTATCTTTCTGTATCAACATGATTGTGTTCGCTGATTTGTTGACCTTCCTCGGTCAAGATAACTTTCAGAAATTTTTACAAGAAATCCCATATGAATTTTTTATGATTTACATAACATAAAAATCCGATGTCAATCTTTGCGTCATACTTTCCTTCATGAATCTGAAATTGGCAGGGATGACATGTTCATTATCAATGTAAATGGTACAGAGTTACATTTTGACTTAAAAGAGTTGGTCGTTGTAATTGGTCTAAAATCTGGACCAATTTCTGATTTTGTTCCTGATCCATCTGTTCCAAATAGATTAATTGCAGAAAATTTCAGAGACTTTGACAAAGTCCCCAAGTCAAATTTTTACCACAAGTTTAAATTGGAAAACTTTTGGGAAGAAGATGACCATTTATAATCAGTTTATATAATTCATACATACTTCATACACATTTAATATATTATTCACTGTCATACGAACTACTCCAATTAAACAAACACAATATAATTTCAATACAAAATTAATACAAAAACATATATTCCAATTTCAATAGAAACTAGAATATTTTTTTTAAAAAAAAGGACTTCATAAACTATTGATACACGTTTCGTATACTTTCCATACACTAATAATACAAACTTCAGACTTCAAACACGCTATACGTAACATAACTATTTCATTAAAAAAAAGAAATATACAAACTGTTTTCAGATAATACAGTTATCCAAAAAATCGAACACTGTTCTACATGTAAAAAACATCAAATAAATTAAAATCAACAATTCATAATTAAAAACCAACCTGATGAATTTCACTTTCCACCATGTTTAATTAATATTGACATAATGTTCTCCATTAGATCAAATTAAATTGTTTCAAATGCCAAAATTTATTAGGTTACTAAAAAAAACAAACTGAAATATGCAGATATGAAAATAATCATGAAATTTTGAAAAAAAAAGACTTCTACGTTGATGCCAATCTGAAAATAATCGTGAAAATTTGAAAAAAAGATGAATTATAACGATGATGCAAATAGGTTTCAAAATGTCAATCTGAAAATAATCTACAAATGTGAAAATAATCGTTAAAGTTTTGTAGAGTTCTTTAAGAAATTAAATAAAAAAAACTAATATCATTTAAACTAACTAGAGATATTCAAGGCAATGGTGCTAATCTAAATTTTTTTTGATATCCCTAAAAATGTGTTAATCTAATATTAATTTTTAATCAAAATCCCTTAAAACTTGCTAGTGTACAGTTTCAAAACGTACTAACTACATTAAATGTAATTAATAAAGTATCCCATTTTCCATTATTAGTTTGTCTGTAAGTTAATTAGGTATATTAATTATCCATTGTTAGTTTATTTCTTTTTTTTATTAATTGTTAATAACAATTCTTTTTAATAAATTATAATTAATATTATATTTAATAAAATGCTATAGATTGAGATATTAAATGTTATACATTGAAATTCAGACTCTAATGCTATAACTTGAGAATATTACTATATAAAATGCTATATACCTAATTTACACAATGAAAATTTAGACCTCTGTAAAGATGGGAAAAGGCTAGAAGACTCATTACGTTGGGCTAGCTGAAGGGAGACCCAATTATAGTCGTATACGTTTGGAAGAAAGTGGTTGGGATGGTTTAAGAGAGTTAAGGCAACTTTTTTATTAAGAAATAGCCCAAAATTTATTTTTCCAAATGTATTAAAAATACTTGGTAACTAGGTAAGATGAATTAATATAAATTCAATTAATCATGCTTCTTAATTTAAATGAAATAAAATAATCGACGTAATTATAAAATAATTAATGCAAAAAATGTAAGCCATTATGTAACTAAACTAATTAGTAAAATATTTAAACAAAATAAAATCTTTTTTTTTGAGACGAAATTCAAATGATTATAAAATATATCAGTTATATACATAACTATGTAAATCATATATAATATCTAAAAATCATGAAAAAACGATAAGATTTATTTAGAATAACCTTTTAAACCTTAATAAAAATTAATTATTTGAAAATATTTAGAATTAAGAAGTTGTTAATTAATTAATATCGGGGAGGGTCAAAATTTGGGTGTCAACAACTGTCCCTTATTTTACTTGAGTTGATGCAAGAAATTCGAGGAAAATGAAATTGACCGACCACATATTCATTTTTATGGAAAGGATTTGGTACGGACTTTATGAATTATGGCCGAAGCCCGAAAATAGGCTTCCTACATATGTCAGGTTATATGAGAATTCAGGCCACTTGTAGTTCGACTCAATCAGTTGAAAAAGAAATCTATTATGCTAGATAACCTTTGGTTCTGATGAGTGAAAAATTTAATCGAGTATAAAAAAGAGGCTTGCAATCTCTTAGCCATGAAGGTTGAGCTCTTCACATCCATAGATAAGAATTTACATAGACATAATTTCCAAAGCTCTCGGTGCATTGTCACTCAGATTGGAAACTTGCTTCAGGTAGACTAAAATTCCGGATGCAAAACCAAAATTGACAAAAATAAAGAAAACCCCCACATGCCTTCTGATAGGGGCGTGGTTTGATTGTGGTGGAAGTCGATCCTCTGCTCGCGTCTCAAGAGTTTGATACTCTTCTTTGGACTATGTCCCAGTTTGCTGCTAAGTAAAGTTCCACAGTATGCTGCATCCTTTTGATGTCGTCTACACCTATGATTTATTTTTTTCGGAGAATTCATCCTTACGGATGCTCTCGACAAAGACAGAGATAAAACTTGTCAACATAAGAAATGCAATTAAAATGGGAGACAATGTGTTTTACCGTGTCGACACTTAATTGCTCTCCTGGACATTTGATGTCACCTCGATTGGGTTTGACGTAGAGCAAATAAAACTTATGTCTTGTGTTTGCAAAATAATCTTCAATGTACTCTTCATTTGATGTCAAAATAAATAAAGCTGATGCAATGTTGATTTTTTCTTCATCGCTTTCGATGATTCTCTTGGCATTCACTCTTGCCAAATAAAGATGCAGTTGATGTTGAGGGGTAACATTTCCCTTGAGATGCACGATTCCTCCTTTGGTAGCACATGAATTCTTGCGGGGCATGAATATCTTTCCGTATTGCCTAAATTTCTCTGAGATATGAAATCTTCTCAGGATGCGTAACTTTTCTACGAGGCATGAAATCCTCTTGCAATGCATAAATTTCAACGAGGCATGGAATCTTGTCGTGATGCATAAATTTTTGCAAGGTATGAAATCTTCTCGCGATGCATAAATTTCTGCGAGGTATGAAATCTTCTCGTGATGCATAAATCTCTGCGAGGTATGAAATCTTCTAGCGATGCATAAATCTCTGGAGGTATGAAATCTTGTCGCGATGCATAAATTTCAATGAGGCATGGAATCTTCTCGTGATGCATAAATTTCTGTGAGGTATGAAATTTTCTCGCGATGCATAAATTTCTGCGAGGTATGAAATCTTCTCGCGATGCTTGGGATATTAACTCGCGATGCATGATTTTCTGCGATGCATGG